GAGCAGAAAACGCAGCGCGAGCCGTTCCCGCGCCGCCGTGCGCGCGGCGGCGCTTGGCCGTCGTGCGCGGAGAATTTTGACGGTGGCGACCTTTGCGCCGCCGCGCGCGCGGCGGCGTTGGGCCGCTTGCGTAAGTTTGCGACGGGGGCGGCCCCTGCGCCGCCGCGCGCGCGGAGGCGCCGGGCCGCCCCCCGCGGGAAACGCAGGCGTTGGGCCGTTGCGCGTGGAGAAATGCAACGCGGGCAGCCTCTGCGCCGCCGCGCGCGCGGCAGCATTGGGCCGCTTTGCGCAGAGATATCGACGTCAGGCTGTCTTCTCAGTTAGCGCGCTACGGCCGCGGGGTTTGCACCGCTGGCGCCCGACAACGTTTCGCGGAAACGCGGGCCTGTTGTAGGCTGCCTTGTCTGGTCGTAAACGCTGCTGTGTTCGACGGGCGTTGGTTTGCCCAATGATTTGCCAGTGTGTTAGCGCAGGCCCGTTTGAGTGCACCATATCATCAGATGCGTTTTTTTTGTTGTTTGCGTGTCCTCTAAGCTAGTTTACACATCGACCTCGGCCTTTGCCCAGACGTGTTAGGCTGCCGTTTGCAATGAAACCCTGGGGGACGACCTCAGAATTCGAAGTTCGAGATGGAAGCCATGCTGGGCCCTCGGTGCAACGGAAATCTGGACCAGACATTTCGCGCACCAAGAGCACGTTGACGCGAAAATGTGCGAACCAAGAGCCACCGCAACGAGCGACTAAGACGGCCCTGCCGACGCCCCTGCGGGCTCTCCAACAGACCTGACCTCCCAGACATTCCCAAGATTGAGGTCGCCTTTACAAAGTGTTAGGGTTTTTTTTGTGGATCAGAAATCGGAGACTGGAGCATATACATTACCAGTGGCGGGTTGTCGTTCATTCCCCAGACCTTTTTTGAGGGTCGGGGACGACGTCGGGGTGGTGTGGTGTATACGTTTTTCTCCGTTGTCCTGGGGGGGAACAACGAAGAACTTATACACCAGGATCCCGTATCCACCAGGATTCGTTTTCTTGTATTAGATTCAGTGTGAAGCCAGACAGGCGTCGGTGTATAGAGTTCGGTTCCCTAAGAAATGGGTACGGAAAGAGTGGGTGCAAAGAGACCGACAGCAGTTCTGGTTCCGTCTGGGCAGGGTTCGCGGTCGGTCTCGCCGTGGCCAGTGTTAATGAACCGACAGCAGTTCCGGGTGATTCTGAACAGGGTTCGCCGTCGGTGTCGCCTCGGACGGTGCCCACTTGACGCAGGAAGCCGCCTGCCCAACCGCGGCCGCTCGCGTTG